GCTTTCTCAGCAGAAAAATCGTCAAACACCATAACTTGACCGCCGTAGAATATGGTCAATGGAGCAGAAGATTGAGACTCCACTTTCACAACAGATCTGTTCAAAATCAACACAACACACAAAATTAGCCAAACTCTAAAATCTAGCTTCCTACATCAAATGATTCTTGTCAATTTTCACTATTTACAGATAACATACTTAGTCTCTTTGATCATCTCAACATCTTCCTTAGTCCCAGAGGAAGATGAGGAAGAAAAACTCGATTGCCGAGGAAACATCTTCTTCGGTTTAACGTCTTGAGCAACCGAAGAATCCATTGGTGAAGCTTCACAAGGAAACAGATTCATCATCGTAGGCTGACGTGACACAGCAAAACCACCTGCAAAAATTGATAAAGATTATTCTCTAATCCTTTGTAACAATTCCAGAGCAAAATCCGGTTTCTAACCAAACAAGGAAACATCAATCATACACAAACAAACATATATAGAAATTGATTCCATATAAAGTAAGTAATAATCAAAGTAAGATGCTTTCTTCATCATCGATTCTCCACTATGATTTCGATTTCGATTGAATTTGGAACCGGAATAAACCCGAAAACCGAAAAACAGATCTAGAGAGAAAGAGAAGGGGTTTTGGTTTACCGTTGACGACGTCAGGATTGCATGTCATCCCCAAGCTCAGATCTCCAAAACTACCATTCTCTTTCAAATAACGACTCAATCGACTACACGTCTGTGAAAAACTCGGCTTCTTCTCCAGTAATCTCCGACCAGTTGATTCCCAACACTCCGCAGAACTCGACATCGTCAATCAAATCCAATCAACAACAAAACCTCACCGAAAGTAAAAAAAAATTGAAATCGTTCGTTTCTCAAATTGGAGCAAAAGAATCTTCTTCTAGCTTTCTTCGATTGATTTTGTTCTGAGTCGTTCTCGAATATATATCTTTGAGAATCGTTTCCAGGAAAATAAAAAATTAGGGTTTTTTTTTAAT